TTAAACAAGTCTCCTGTTAAATGAGGAAGAATGAGCAGCCACATGGATATGTACTGAGCTGGTTTGTTTTCATCTGACTTTACAGCAACTGCAAATTTAAGGCAATTAATTCCACTTTATTTAATATAAAACTCAGATGAGACAAACAGTACAGTACTACAGTGCACGGAAACACACTTAAGGGCAAGTTCTTCTCTGAAAAACCCTCAAAAATGTACCCATTCATTGTGTCATGGTGTACTGTATGGCCTTGATTCATTAGTCCTCTATAAACATTTCACTTTAAAACCTTTGGGCCATATAAATAGAAAGGCCACAAAATGTCACGCATTCGACAACCAGATTTGAAGTAAGCTTTATCATACGCAACGTCTTATCTTTCACCGTCTAAAGACTCATTGCTACATGTGCAAAAGTGACGCCCAATAACTAGTGTTAAAATCAAGTGCAATGCTTTCTGAGGCTTCACAGTTCTGACACCACCAAATTCTGGCCAGGAAAAAGCTTCAATGAGAATCAGAGAACAACGCCTGGATGAAGCGATGGAAGCCGTAATGCTTTTGACCAGCTCGCGAGCCACACACCTAACATTTCTCTTCAAGTCTTTAATTAAAGACATACAAGTTAGCTATTAGGAACTGTGTCTTTGTTTTCCAGCAACACACTGGCCTCAGAAGTGAAACTGGTCCCTGGATGCTGCACTGTAACTGCCCGCTGTAGTAGTAAAAGCAAAGTAAAAGCAAATAAAGGAATTCCTCTGCTAGAGCAACCTGGTTAAATCTAGCTGAGCATGCTCCATAGTTTCCATCACTGGTTACCGTTCCTTCAAACAGAACAAATGTGTCGACTCCTTCATGGACATGACACCTGATCATGTGGGACTCATGAGGATTTTCACTTCATATAACAAACAAACTCAGGGTGGCAACGTGATTGTTGTTACCACATAAGAACAGTCCTGGTCAGTCACTGCCACTTTATTCTCTTCTGTTTCCTGGCAGAACTGATTTTAAAAAGTTTGTTGCATTAGAGACCAGCTCTACCACAAACATTTTCCTAAGGAAAAAATCCATCCATTGTTTATACACTTATACTGAAGGGGTCACAGGGGGACTGGAGCCAATCCCAGCTTACACTGGACGAGAGGCAGGGTACACCTTAGACAGGTCTAAGGAAAAATAAAGAAAAAAAAAAACCTAAATAAACTCCTCCATGTGGAAACAAAGCAGACGTGGATGGCAGAAATCTGCTTCACTGCTCAGCACAGCATTGCAGTCTGGATGGCTGCTTAGAGACGCACCTGGCTGAGCGACAATAATAATCTTTGACTCTAAGAGGATTCTGTAGACCAGATCTCTCCAGACGTATGTCACATCACTTGGGTGGAGAGGGCCATATTGGGAGAGGATGGGCCTCTGTGTTGAAGACATACTTCTCTAGACTGAGCATCTCCATGTCATCAGAGAAGAGAAGATACAAATACTTCAGAGTCTCACCCAGGAAGAAACTCTCCATCTTGTCCCGGGGCCCCGGGTTAACAGGGTCACGGACATTGTTAATGGACGTGTAGCCACCGCCGGGGACCTGCAGAAATGGAGATATCCATTAGGTGGTTAATGCCTCCACTTTGACACAGAAAATACTTCATGATTCATGTTCAGCTCTCCACAAGCTGCCAGGGGTTTTACTCATAAAAGAGCAAGAAAGTGACTTTCTGAACTTTGGTTTGGACTGATGTGTTGCCTTGCCTGGTTTTCTTTTCTTCCTTGTCCCAAGTCATTTTCTTTTGCTGTTGGAATAAGTCTTGCTAACCCAAATCATTAACACACTTTTAATGACTGAAAACTGCATCCATGTAGTAAACACAACAACAATCAACGACAAAACAAAACACTGTTGACGCTGAGCAAAAATAAAATCCATGCACTAATACAGAGGTAATATGTTTATTTCATATACTGTAATTTAACTGCCTCAGTCATTAAAAGGTGTGGTGAAACAAACTGCTCTGTGTATCTGTACCTTAGTGTACTTATTGAAGCTCTGTAGGATTTCCCAGCCCCAGTCTCTGTACTTGGTGTCCTTAGTGAATCTGTACATGTAGAACAGACTCTCCACTGTCTCTGGTCTCAGCAGGTTGTGTCTATCCGCAGGCTGGGGGACAAAGAAGTAGTTGTTAATACAAGTGACCGGTATTTTAGTTCAACATTTACTCAAACAGGTACATGCACAGAAACTGAAAATGCCTTTTTGAAAACACTGAGAGCATCATTAGTGAGTTAAGATGAAATCAAGAGCAGATAGATTCAAACACAGTACAGCATTTCTGTTCTTCCTTCAGAGCACAGAAAAGTAAAAGGAAGAAATTAAATTCTGGCTCAGAGCATGAAGAAAAACAAGTGTTTTTGAAAACCTCCTGGGGACAGATGTGACTCGACTAACTTTGAAACTCAAACTATAAAAGTTCCTTAACCCTGATTTCAGTTTATGGGAGCATTACAGAAATAAAACAAATGAATAAAAGCATTTACAAAAAGCTTGAATGTCCAAATAATCCTTCAGCTGTGGAATAAAACAGACCACAATAACACCCAGTTAGGCTCCAGGCTCTGACCAACCTTATTTTACCTTCCTGAGTAGCTTGTTTTACCCTTTCTGCAATCAAATCTTTGCGTGAACTGAAAACCAAACACTTGATGACATGCAGTCATAGGGGAAAACATATTTTAAATCAGACTGAAGGTTTAATAAGTGTTCTTCATTTGCAGCAGTGATTAGCTGCCTCTGAGTTACTGATAAGAAATACATGAATAGTCTTTCTAATATGACATTTGTTACCTTAGGTTTTAATCCTATTATTACACTGAGCTCCAAAAATGCTTAAAATGTTTCATACATCTGAGGTTAATGCAGACAGCAGTGAAGAAGTACAAAATAGTGGATGCTTTGATAACACTAGAGCTTTACATGAGCACTGAGGAAGGTTAGGAAGATTAGGGTTAGAACTCCCATGACAAATTTAGACTAGCTGATTCCATTTTATTCAACAGGCTTTTATTTTTTATTTATTTATTTTTTTTACAGGCTCACTCATGAATCTGTAGTGGGCTCTCACATCTTTTAGTTTGTTATAAATGACAAATGTGCATTCAACAGAAAGCAATAAACGGCAAGACAAACACTAAATGACAGTGCTTGTCAGTACTTCCAAATGCACATTTATTTAAATTGCGAGATCTGAATGAGAGAAAATAGAATTTCCACCGTTACTGGGCCCTATGATATTTGTCTAAATCTTAGCCTTTTGAAAATGTCTACTGAAAAGTCAGATATTCTTCTTGGTAGAATTTTGAAACAAATCTTTATAGCAGTTGTCATGTACAGCCTAGAATTTATAGTCGGTGCATTCGCACCTAAAACAGACCCACAAATATACTGTATAGAAATATAATCAGAAGAGACTGTACATGAAAATTAGGGACATAAAACATAAAGCTTGCCTTGACAACAACGTCAAGCCCATCGCTGGCCTGCAGGCTGAAGTGTGAGATCTCTGGGCTGAGGCCAGTCTCCATCTGTTTGTACATCTGGTGACAGGTCTCCATCAGCTGCACTGCCAGATCCATGTGGTCCCCCGGGAGACCACTGTGGGCCCCCAGTGCCAAGGTTCCTGGTAGGAAGCACACCAGGTGATCCTGGAGAAGGGCAGCAGAAGGAGAAGAGCACTTATGAAGGAATGAACCAAAAATGTTGAGAGCTTGGACTGACTGCACATGAATCTATATAATTACTGATTCAGCCAAAGCAACAAGGCTAATTGATTCAACAAGGTGGCCAGCGCCTGTCGATGTGAGCTCCTCAACTTCTGGCAGAGTGTGAAATACCCTAATATGACAATCACAGGGTCTTGTGCTGTGTGTGGTACATCCATATTGGGCCAACCACAAAACATACATCAACAGAAGGTTAATTAAGGGGTCAGTGACCCCACAATAACCCCGGTATTTCACACAATGGCTTTTGGTGAGCATCTCTACCATCTTGGGGTTGAAGCGGTTGTGGGACAACTCTCCAATAAAGGTCAATCTGCTGGGCCCCGTCTTTCTCACAAGGTGCTTTTTCACTCCCTCTATGGCCTGAAGGTAGTCCTCCAGCAGGCTTGACAAAACACACACATAAAACATGACAATAGCTGTGATGTAACTAATAGTCAGGGTTATATTAGGACTGGTGTAAATATCAAAACTCACATACTGTATCAGGTCATGTTTAGTCCTCAAAATGTATGTAAATACATACTTTTATTGGGATTATCAATATAGATCTGCATTAAAGTTCTACATTCTGTCTCTCAATTTTGGCTCTGTTGCTCTCAGCAACCACTCCATGTTCCGCAGGACAGTGACAGAAATGTAACGCACCTGTCTTCTGTCTTGCCTCCCTGGATCCACTGCTTCAGCAGGTATTCGTAATAGCTATCTGCCCTGGCACCGAGTGTGAAGACTCCTTTGTGGGTGAACTGTCCACTGTTGGTGTTGATGAACATGGGCACCAGGCCATCCTGTTTGCCTGGCAGCTTGTGGACCAGCTTCATTACCTCATCCACAACCTCCTGGACAGGTTGAGGAAAAAAAAAAAACTGAATAAATGACATGAACTCTTAGACATGACATAATGAACCTACCAGCCACACTTCATTCACTAATTCTATGTGGGCCAATGTTTAAAGAAATGAAAGTGGAATCATCAAATGCCACGTTTCAGAGGGCTGGCTCAGGTTATGACAGGCATTATTCAAGGTAATATCAGACTCGTTCTCGTTTCTGGAATCACACAATAACTGCCAACATGAGTGATTTAAAGCAAATCCTAGTACATGCTTGTCACTTGTCACACAAGTGCTTGCAAAGTGTACTTAATGTCTGATGTTTTAACTGAAGCCAAGAAATATTTATATAAAAAGCTTCCAATCTTTTTGTACTCCATCTCAAAAAACTGAGAATAAAACCAAAAAGATTTCACACATGCAACAGCACATTTTACTACTTTAACCACTTTACCTGGTACTGTGGTTCCTGGGTCAGGTGGCTCAGCTCTCTGAATTCCAGCTGAATACTCGTGACCTCTGCCAGTGTGCTGTCTGATGTCCATCGAGGGGGGTGGGCTGTTCCCTTCCCAATGTTGACATCTGAAAACGGGATCTTTGAGGGAGTTTTGAAGGCAGGCAGTAACCTGGACCCAAGATCTTTCTTTATGTGAAGAGAAGAGAGAGACCAAAATCATACATTTGCCTTCTTAAAGTAAGTTCTTATGGACTCAGTTTTAAAAAAATGCAACTGGCCAAAAGTAACATTAACACAAATCTGATGAAGACACCTACTGGCTTGTAACTGAAGTGAGGCATTGAGCGGTAATTAATTCATCAATTTTACATTGTTGACTGCACAAAGCTAAGTGAGCTGCTTGACTGCTTGAAAACCTGACAGCCCTACACTGCACCAGTATGTTCTAAAACAATGACACAAGAAGCCAAGAGGACAGTAGAAATGCCTGTCAGTTCACTCACTGCTTTCTCTAGGAAGAGCTGGTCTCCTGTTAGGTGGTAAGCACTCAGGAGACCCCCAAGGATGCGGATGGTCGTCTCAAAAAGATTCACATCCACATTCTTGTTGAAGGAAAGCTCCTTCTCGACCCAGTTCCTGGCTTCTACAAACTCTGTGTGGAAAGAGGCAAAGTACAATAGTAGGAAAGTCGAGAGAGGACAGGAAAGAACTACATTTACTGGCATTGATTGAACAAGATGTATCAAAACGTTTTGCCTCAAGTGACATGAAGAGAGGACAGGAAAGAACCACATTTACTGGCGTTGATTGAACAAGATGGATCAAAACGTTTTGCCTCAAGTGACATGATTGCATAATTAAACCAGAGGCAGCCCTGAATCAAGGCTTTGTCAGATTTTAAAAAGAAAACTTGACTGATTTGGTATTGCATTCTTTTAACACTGACAGACTCTCAGACAGTAGAATAAAAAAGGATAACAACTGATGTAGCAGAACCAGAGTTGCTGCCTTTTTTTATTCCATGCATTTTTCTTCACTGTCAAAACCTGGAGCCTACAGCTCCCACATTGCAACTGGGTGTGTGATGCCAGTTGGGGTCAATGTAGCCTTGAGACACTAGCCTCAACCAGAGATGAGGAGTGGTGCTACAGATGTCTGGTAAGCTCATTTCCTTCCTTCTAACTCCGCACCCAGATGCTTTTCATATTCAAGCTTGTACTTCTCAAATGATACATCCCATTCTGCCCAGCTCCGCTGGAGCCACAAAAGGTTTTATACTAATTTTTGTACATATCCAGTAGCACTACACCTGAAAACAGACTTTGAAATCAGTGGCATCCCCCTTGACTTGAGACCAAAAGCAAGGCTTACTTTTACAGAAAAATGTGAGTGGATGCAACAATGCATCTGTGCAAGTTGAAAATATTTAAGGTTTAACAACAACAAAAAAAATCTTCTTGTACACGGTATATATTAAAAGTATTGTCAACAGTACTGAGACATATCTAATGATATATAAAGCCTTAAGTAGAGAGATAAAAAGTGGCATACAGTACCTTCTTTTAGGCCCATAATCCACATAGTGTCCAGAGAATCAATGAGTGTCAAACCCAGTCCAAACCACTCGCCAAAAGACTTGGAGATGGGCTTGAGCTCATCATGACCCCAGGCATAGGCCTTATAGCCTTTCCACGCATGTCTGAAGGCATCACGCACCACCTCCAATCTGTCCACAGATCCTGTCGAAACTACAAGCAAAGGCCCACAAAGGACTGAATAAGAAGTGTGTCATCTTAAAAGGCTGCTTCGACTGTAGGGAGCTTTCTCAACAGTGCACAATCCATTTTCTGATTATCTCCAGTTGAAAGAAAATTTTGTACCATGTGTTGATGCTGCTGCTTTGAGCACAGCAGAGCTTTGACCTGTAAGCTGAATCAAGCTTTAAATCAAAAAAGGTGCTGGGCTTTAAACAGTGTATACCAGTAGAGCTGGCCTGCGCTAAAGAATCTGTTTCAGGGGAAATCTAACAATCAGTGGATGCAAGAGGTATGAAAATTCTGAACATTTCTCTAGTCCTGAGAGAACAGATGATATGAGAGAGGTGGAGCTACTTGGTACAGGGCTGGAAAATGATGAAGAATGACACAACCTTATGGTTACTGTTTTACATCGCTGCTCTCGTTGGGTTTTAGACTGTGGGTCAGACAAAACACAACATTTGAAGACGTGACATTTACCAGGCTTAACGATTTGTATTCTTGGTACTGTACTGACCTTCCAGTGGGACAGTGTCAGCAGGATTAGCTGGTCCTGCGGGTGCTGCAGCTTCTTTCTCATCGGCTGAGGGCGGAGGCTCTGTGGCCTGGTCGGCTTCGATCATTGCTCCTCTCCAGCTGCAGGACAAAAGTACAAAAAACACCTTTTACACCTGAATGGTTTAGAACTGCTTTTGATACATGTACCGAAACAACAGCTGCTACTGGACCTGTGTGCATCTAGAAAATGTTTTATTCTGATCTTTGGAGAAATGTCCTGTGACCATGTCATATACTTTTCTCAACAGCTCCAGTTTATAGGAGAAAAAAGCAAACAAACAGATCACCTGACAATCTTCTTCTCTTTGTCCTCATTCTCTCCTTCTTCATCTCGAACCACCTCTTGCTCCTGTTTTTCCCCACCGACTGTGTCTGAAACATTCCCATCTTTCTGGAGGCTCGGTGGACCTCTCTTGTTTGGAATGCTCTTTTTCTGTGGATAAACATATGGCTAGAGCTAGACACAGGAGGGACAACATGAACACCTCATGGAGAAGGACTAATAAGTTTCCAAATATGAATTCCACGTTGTATCAACAGTTGCCTTTTCTGATCATCTCAGCAACCTAAATCACTAAGTAGACCTGTCACATGAAAGACTGTTCCACACCTGTAACTACAATCCCAAGAACCCAAATCAGATTCTGACTGCAGGTTCTGTTGTCATCTGGCATTTTCTTACAGTAAGCCTGAAATGACCATTCAAAACAGTTTAAAAATCAGAAAACCGATCCTAAACAACAAGAGGGGACTAACTCATCACTTCATCTTCCCCACCTCTACGCCTACGTAGCTACAACACAATGAACATCAACTATTTTAGCAGTACAGTTCGGCAAACCTATAACAAACAAAAACAAACATCTTTGGAATTACATTTAACTTAAACGTTACATGCCACACTGAATTTAAAGACAATACATAAAGTTATTGTGTTTTATTACGTCATTTTTCATTATGTGTGATGCAAGTGGAATGTGTCTGACCGTAATTAATTCGTAAGCCTGTGATAAAGTTATGTTAAGTATGGTCATCCCAACATCCTGGTAATAAACTTCAGATGCGAGTTAGTCGACCTTGGCCAGCTGTAGCATTTTGCTTGCTGTCACTGAAATAACAAAAAGCAAACACAACTCTAACCTTAATAAGAGGTTTAGCCAAAGCAGGGATGTTTGGATCTCTGGGCTCCACTATAGCTTCTGGTCCCACAGCAGGCCCCACATTTGGCCCTGCCACAGGTGCCACAGCTTTGCCTCCAGCTGGACCCAATACAGGCTTCCCGCCTGAGAGACTGGCCTTTAAGTCTCTGTCATTCATCTCCAGCCAGTCCTCCCCATCAGCCAGCCCTAAACACAGAATGAACACCAAAGCAAGCTAAGACTGCAGTATGTCCACAATGTGGCAACTCACTGTATTAAGTACTGTCACTATATTATGATTCTAAACACGTCTGGTGACACACATTTCCTAACATTAACCGACTCATGACAGAGATGACAAAGTTGTCTTCAAAGCTTTCTTACCATGCAGCCAGAGCTGAGTCTGAGCAGGCATACAGTGCTGTATATCACACTTTTCCAAAAGAATTTTCCCAGTCTGCACTAAAATGCAAGGAATTTTCAGATGTGTCTATTCTGAAGAGGAATTTTCAGAGAGCTCAGATTTTTTTTGAGTGTGAAAGTGTGAAAACACTGACTTAGTGTGGATGCAATGCCCAAACAGAGATAAACAGAGGCATTCTGATACAGCTGTTTTAGTGTGGACATGGTCTGAAAATCAAATACAGTACAAGTATATAAGAGTGGAAGCAAGCAGGTGTACACAAAAACTAAACAAAGAAATCACCATGTGGCATTTTAGTACTGTGATTTATCTTCACTACCACACCCAACAAACAGGCAATTCAACTCATCAAATTCAACTAGTCAGAAACAACAGCAGCGTTATTGTGTGCCCATTGTTTACCTCTCCACCGCTCTGTGATGCTGGGATAAGAAAGCAGTCCAAATAGGAGCACCACAGCCAGCAGGAACAGGATGAAGCTTCTCTGGAGCCGAGACAGCTGCTTCCATTTCTGTAGGCAGAGAAACAAATAGAACTTAAAGCAGAGAACCATGTCGAATAGTTCTGGATTCAAATCACAAGGGTCTGTCAGCGGACTCTTAACATCCTCCCCCTCTCAAAATATCTTCAATTATGTTTCCTTTAGAAATAGCGGAGTGAAAAATGACAAGGGCCGACAGCCTTCCCTGTCTGACTTACCCTGAGGAAACTCAACATCTTTCTCCACCTGATGTGCTAAAGCCCAGTGACCGTTCACAAACAAACAGTCTAAAGAGCTCACCCCAGCAGTGCAGAGGGAGGGACAAAGGCAGGGTCTCTCAGGGGAGCAGGCTAACAGGCAGGCTGCTGTTACTCAGTACCCTGCTCTAATTAACACCTGTGCAACACCATGAAACTATTGAGCCATCGTCTGTGAGCCGTGACGGAACATGCTGCAGACTCCATCTCTGGGGAACTTTTCATTTTACTTTGCTGTAGTTCATTCAACAAAACAGCGGGAGAACATTCTGTACAAACCAATAGAGCATCTTTAAAATGCTGTGCATATTTTCAGTATGAATACTGCGTTTGGAATGACCAGAATACTAGGCATTTGTGGTATATTATCTCAACACAATTGTGTAACAGTCTTTCCCCTCCACAGCAACTGAATATATGAACAACAATTTCCTTTTTTAAAGTTGACACTAAACAATGAAGATGAGACAATTAAGGAGAATGACTGTTAACAACAATCACTGATGCTCACATGCATACCAATGAAGGATTCAAGGCTTCCACCTGACATGCATGTCTTTAAGTCCTTTCTGCTGTAGGAGCCAACAAGCCACTCAAAGAACATCATTCACAGAGAACGATTTTCTTGGGAACCATAAACTGCATCAAATTTGACGACCCACAGGTATAGGGGAGTGCTGAGCCAGATCGACACCCGATATAAAGCTGGATTTATAGCTCCAATGTCTGTTGATATACCGGCCAGATTAAATATTACAGGTCAGACAATGGGAGCACTGTGCTGCCTTTTCAAGACATGCAGAATTACTTGCTCTGAGCTTTTTGTGCTCTTTAAAAAAAAAAAAAGAGAACATTTGAAATAATTACTAAAGAAGTACTTTTCCTTATAATGTCAAACTGAAATAATAATTTTAACAAAACTACCGGTTTGAAGATTATGTAAAGGATACAAAGCTGGAAAATAAAAGATGAAAACATTACAGCTGATTTCTAAATATTACCTTTTTGTTTTGAACCTAAATGTGGATACTGTGCTGACGGACCAACTGTATTTAAAATAAAGCAGATTTGTTGGGAAGAAAAACATTTTTTGTCCACAAAACTAACCAGAACACACATCACTGCAGGTTGCTGCACATCAGGATACACCACTGTCCTACTTCTTAGCACTGACACATTTCGATTTTCCAGAAAAGTCGAAGTTTTAATGCATTTGCTTCACAAGATAACACATCTCAGATACTACTCTCTGCCTGCTACTTCAGACTGTACAAGGTGTTCATGGTGCAATACATGTGCATCAAATGCAGGATGGCAAATGACGGATGGCAGCTGTGTGTTCAACTCATAGCTGCGAGTATACAGGGGAAAAAAAAATTGTGGTGAAAATTTTACTTCCTTGCCGTTTAAGTATTTTCATCTAAGGTCACTAAAGTGACAACTGTGTTACACAGAAGTAATCAGTGTGAACAAGAAAGGTAGTCTCATTAAGAGTGAAGGGGTACAAGGATGAAAGAGGAAACGTGTGACTAAAGCAGCACTGGGATTTAGTCTGAGGCCTGACATGATAAGTGTAACATAATAAACCTGTAAAACAAAACCAGCAAAGGAGATGAAGGGGGCTCACAGTGAGAGGCCAAAAGGGAGGAGAGAGGTGAGCCAGGTTTGAAAGTAAAGAAAACAAGATTAAAGATGCGTAAAGAGACATAAGAGAGCCGATGAGACGAAGGGAACTGGTTTTATCTCTATGTGCGTGGGGGATGTTTTTTTTTATCTGAAGAAAAATCAGTCCAAGATCAGGCTTCTCCAGAACAAAGGAGACCTGAGAAAGGAAGACTGAAACCCAGGAATCGATTTGTCACAAAAAACAGACACATTTCATAAAGATCTGAGTGAATAATCACATGCATAACTTAGGCAGCTGGATGCTTACAGCTGCAGCTTTTTTGCAAAGCCCACTACCAGTCACAATCTCACAATACATAATAGGTTTCTCCTCTATAATATTAATAGTAAGGTCTCAACCTAAAGTGTCCTGAGATGACATTGTTGTGATTTGGTGCTATACAAATAAAACTGAATTTAATTGAATGTACAGCATAACGTAGCATTCGATCAACAACACACCATATCTCTGTGGTTATGGACCCAAGGATGCAGATACGAACCTTGTGTGAAATTCAACAACATGCAACAGCATTCTGGTGCCATTTGGTCAAATACAAGCTCATCATCTTACTTGAAATATAGAATTTATGTGTCAGAGCTGTAAACCTCTGGTCCATCTACAGGGGGCCATGATCTGCACACTGGGCTACAGGAACACTCACCCTCCAGCAGGACTGTCTCCGGTGCTTGCCGTTGTTGTATGTATGACTGTGTGAATCACTGAGAGTCACAGAGATGAAGTCCTTTCTGGAAGGCGGATACATCCTCTGATCAGAGCAGACAGTCGTAGGTCATAGAAGCTGCGCTCAGAAAAGTGAAAAACACAGTTAGCCTAACTATGACCACTCAGAAAATAACGTGAATGTGGGTCCCACTAAAAAGGACTGAAAAGACTGAATAATCGATCAACATAAAAATAACTGGTGGCTATCTTTATGATCAATCAATCATATTAGTCATTCAAATACTAAACACACCGCACATTAAATAGTTCCAATTTTTTAAATGTGCTACTTTTGTCTTTTTTAAAGTATTGAAATACTTCTGACACATCTGGACTATAGTCAAAATCATATAACGTGGTATACACAAAGGTCACGTTTCACTGTGATGTGTAAAGACTCAGTGACTGATGTCTGATGTCAGGATATCTTAACTAAAACCAAGCTAAATTTGGCTGAAATGTAGACGTTTATAAGATGTGTTTTTATAAACTAGATGATGGTTGTTTCTATGTAGGGTTTTATAAGCAGGGCTGTACAGATTCTATTAGACCTGCCAACAGAGGTAAAAAGGTAATGATGACATTGATTTGCAGCAAACCAGCCTTATGAACGGTATCCTACAACCAGCCTATAACCAGAAACGATATGCAGCACTATGCTATCAGAGAGATAACTGTAACTGTAGCTCCAGTGCTATGTTCATCTGTCTGCCAGTTTCCCTGATGTTTACGGTGTATACAGTATGTATGGAATTACATTTTCTTAATGTGATAGACACTTTCCAGCTTCTGCAATGTCAATTTGCTAAGACGTACATGAACTATTTCGACTTGTAACTGCTTGACTTGAGCGTGGAGACTTTGCCTTAATTACACAAAAAGCTATTACAGAAGCAAGCTGTTAAGCTAAACATGTCAGTTTACACCCCAGCTACCACACATCACTGACATGCTGTGTAAACAAACAAACAAACAAACAAATTAATTAAAAAAATCCTGACCTGACAGACACTGAGCTGCCTCCCCCTCACCTCTGTGCCTGGTTGGCTGCTTCACAGCGACGTTGCCCTCCTGAAAGCTAAGCAGCTGTTAGCTAGCTGCGAGAGGCTAGCTTGCCTCTTCTGAGTGACGATAACCGGCTATCAGAAGAACCGACATGTAACACGTCACATACTGCAAGACAAAAAGACTCGGTGTTACATTAACTGTCACACGAATTAAACTGGGGGAAACGTGGCTAAACTTAACGTGTTTGAAGTCACAGGCAGATGCGGAAGTGATGAGATAGGACGGTGAGCGTCATGTGACTGATGCGTCGGTGGTTGTGACGGTGCTGTATCAAAATTTGTTTCCTCATCGCAACGTGTTTCACCTTACAGGTATGTGCCAAAAAATTTGAATATCAAGGAAAAGTCCATTTATTTCAATAATTTGTTTCAAAAAGTGAAACTTATATGTTATATTAGTTCACTACACACAAAGTGAAATATTTCAAGTCTTTATTTGTTTCAATTTTGATGATTATGGATTAAAGACAAAAAAAACAAAAACAAATCCAGTATTCCACAAAATTAGAATATTTCATGTGACCAATAAAAAAAATATCTTAAACACATGTTGGCCTTCTGAAAAGTGTGTTAATGTACTGTATTATGTCCTCAGTACTTTGTTGGGCCTCCTTTTGCATTAATTACTGCATCAAGGCGGCGTGGCATGGAGGCGATCAGCCTTTGACACAGTTGAGGTGTTATGGTAGCCCAAGTTGCTTTGATATTGGCCTTCAGCTTGTCTGCATTTCGGGGTCTGTGTTCCCTCATCTTCCTCTTGACAATACCCCATAGATTTTCAATGGGGTTTAAGTCAGGTGAGTTTGCCGGCCAATCAAGTACAGTTATTCCATGGCTATTAAACCAGGTACTGGTAATTTTGGCTGTGTGGGCAGGTGCCAAATCCTGCTGGAAAATAAAATCTTCAGCTCCAAAAAGCTTGTCGGCAGCGGGAAGCATGAAGTGCTCTAAAATTTCCTGGTAGACAGCTGCGTTGACTGTGGACTTGATAAAAGACAATGGATCCACACCAGCAGATGACATGGCTCCCCAAACCATCACTGACTGTGGAAACTTCACACTGGACTTTAAGCAGCTTGACTTTTGTGCCTCTCCGGTCTTCCTCCAGACTCTGGGACCTTGATTTCCAAATGAAATGCAGAATATGCTTTCATCTGAAAACAGGACTTGGGACCACTGGGCAATAGACCAGTACTGTTTCTCCTTAGCCAAGCACAGACGCTTCTGACATTGTTTTTGGTTCAGGAGTGGCTTGACGCATGGAATTCTACAACTGTAGCCCATGTCATGCAGACGTCTGTATGTGGTGGTTCTTGATGCACTGACACCAGCCTCAGTCCACTCCTTATGAAGCTCCCCCAGATTTCTGAATCGCCCTTGCTTGACAATCCTCTCAAGGCTGCGGTCATCCCTGTCACTTTTGCACCTTTTCCGGCCACATTCTTCCCTTCTTCTTAACACTCTGTTAATATACTTTGATACTGCGCTCTGTGAGCATCCAGCTTCTTTTGCAATTGCCTTTTGAGACTTTTCCTCCTTATGGAGGGTGTCAATGATGGTCGTCTGCACAACCGTCAAGTCAGCAGTCTTCCCCATGATTCTGAAGCCTACTAAGCCAGACTGAGACAATTTCAAGGCTGAGGAAACCTTTGCAGGTGTTTTGCATTAATTAGCTGACTAGATTGGGACACAGGGAGCCTACAATGTTGAACTTTGTCATGATATTCTAATTTTGTGAAATACTGGATTTGGGTTTTTTTTGTCTTTAATCCATAATCATCAAAATTGAAACAAATAAAGGCTTGAAATATTTCACTTTGTGTGCAGTGAACTAATATAACATACAAGTTTCACTTTTTGAAACAAATTATTGAAATAAATGGACTTTTCCTCGATATTCTAATTTTTTGGCACATACCTGTAAGCCCTGATGTTATCCTAACCACGGTCACTGAAGGGGTCGCTACGTAGGTGAAGCAGAGTTTTCAACAGAGGGAACACAAAACACTATTCCACTGCCACACTGCTTCTACTGAAGCAACTACTGGTTAAGGTAAAATGTAGAGATAGTCATCTTCGAAATGAATGAATGAAAATATTTATTTCAACATAGAGTAAGAACATTCTCAACATGTTTTATGGTGTGAAGGTCTGACCCTGTACATTTCTCTGCATTCTTTAGCATTTCATAATAATATAATTTGATTAAACATCCCCGGTTTGATTTGTCAATTTGTAACTTTCTGATGTTAATCAACAATAATTAATAAAAAAAAAACACAAATTCTTTTAAATTCATAAAGCCACATAATATACAGTATCAATGCTCCATTTACTTATTTGCTGTGTGGTGGATGGCTGGTGGCCACACCTGTTTCCATAGAGGTCCCTAAATAGACATCTTCCTCTAAACTTTCCAGTCCTGCCTCACATTCACCAGGTTATTAAAAATGCATAAAACAAACAATATTTGGACTGTGTGACAAGACCATCAAATATATCATACTAAAACTTTATCAGAAAGGAACGTTTTATCATTTCAGACATTTTGATTGATAGCTATAAGTTCAGATGTTTGCTTTTGAAATTACAGCCGTCAAAAACAAAACACTTTAATGAGAGTTGAATGAATGTCTAAATCATGTCCACATCCAGATCATACAGCAGCAGATGATGCTATATGGGACTCATAAAAATATTCTGGGACACCACACAAAATAGGAGTCAATTGTTTGTTACTGAGAGCTGTTCAACTCTAAAACATACTGTATAGGGCCTATAAACTGTTTCAGTGCAAATGTAAACATGCACTGGAAGAAAAAAAAAGTCTTGCACGACATCTGAAGAGGAACAACATACATCAGCGTCACTCCTACCCAGTTGAAATGTGACCTGTTAATGTTAGACTCCCACAAGAACATTAATAGCACAGCCATAAAGATCAGTATTGATAAAACCACTGTGAAATATCTAATTTACTGATGACAGCATGAGTGACATGCTGCCCTATCAGTATTAAATGATTTAATCACATTTTCATTGAAATAGGAAAAAAACATTTTGCAGTGATTTCACCCATTATTCTGTCACTAATGTTAAAAATCCACAATTTAGTTCTAATTTAATGTGGTTTATATATTTATTTAAGCTAAACTTGGGGCAGAACCTGAAATGGCTTATACAGTAATTTCAGCTTCTGCACCGATTAATGGTCTCTGTCAGCCACTTTAAAGAAATGGCAGCTAAATGGAAATCCAGCACACATTGTGGAAATAGCTGACAAACGCATTAACTTTCCTTTGTCAAATATGTGGTCTGCTATAGTTCACACAGGTGTGTGTAGGATCTAATGTCTTAAGACTTGCCGTTAGAGACAAATTTTAATTAAAATGTCTGTTACTTATCTGACATTTACTTTCCAACTTCTTCCCAGAAAGTTTGAAAATATAAAAAGCCCAAGCAGTAGTGGTTTATGTTCATAAGTGAACAGGCAGTTGTACAGTGTTATAGTCCGACTTATGAGATGTTTCAGACATTACAAGGGAATAAAAACATATTCAAGGCCAATAAAATGGCAGTGTGGCCTTGAGTGAAATGTTTTGGCAACTACCTGATAAATAGACATAAAATCTGATTCAGGCATTCTTTGGTGACAGTACATATAGCAAACTAACTGGCCTATGATAAAATAAATGCTCATAAAATACACCTGTGTCTGCGTTTGTCTTTTTTTTTTAAATTCACTTTGCAAAATTTTCTAATGGAGAGAGCACACAAGACAGATGTCCAACATGTCAATACATCATTTTTAAAATGCTAATTTGTACTGTACAGGTTTATTTTCTTTTTTACATTTTTTTATTTAACCTTTATTTTACCAGGCTAAAAAACCCTTAGAGATTAAATGCCTCCATTTCAAGAGGGACCTGGCCAAAATAACACAACTCACATAAAATTGTTACAAGATGGCTACAAACATAACAGTCACATACAAATCATTTAAAAGTTACATAAGCATCCTGAATAAGAAGTAGATACCAATGATTGAACCATGGTCTTAAATTCAGTGAGAGAAGCCAACTTAACCATTTTAAATTGTTCCTGCAAGCTGTTCCAAGTATTCAGAGCAGCAAATGAAGTGGCCTTCTTTCCCAGCTCCATTCTTATATATGATATGACATATGATTGATATATTTGTTGTGATCTCAGATTGTAGTCTGACAGAGAATTCTGAACAATACATTTACAAAGACACAAAGGTAAACTGCCTAAAATGGCTTTATAAATAAATATTTACCAATGATTCAATTGTCACATGGCAAGAGAAGGCCACCCCGCTTCAAGGTACAAAGCACAATGATGGATCAAAGGATTTAAGTTAGTGATAAACCTTAAAACACTATGATAAACAGTATCCAACTTAGAATGAGAAAAGTGGAAGCTGCTAGCTTTTTTCTGGTTCCCATAGATAAACAGAGTCTGTGTCTAAAAGAGAATCTTCAGTCTTGATTTGCTAACAAACTTATCAACATGTAACTTAAATGAAAGGTTATCATCTATCCATATACCTAAATATTTGTAAGCGGAAATGTTCAATTACCCTCTCCTCAGATGACACAATATTAATTAAATCAGCAGATCTTTTTCTGCTGGTTGTGAAATACATCACATTTGTTTTATCTGCATTCAATTTAAGCTTTAATTTAGCTAGTTGATACTGTAAAATGTCAGAGCCAGACTGAAGCTTAGTTAGCGCCTCAGTTAATAATGTAGCGCAGCTATAAAGCACTGTATCGTCTGTATAACGGCCTATAAACTCCATCTGCATTTACAGTACTCCCAAATCATTTACATAAAGACAAAATAATAACAGGCTAAGCACAGATCCTTGTGGTATCCCATTAATTAAAATGAGCCATTCAACACAAAGTCCATTTACTCTCACACACTGGGTTCTATTTGACTGATACTTTAAAACAATCTTACTGCAAATTCAGTCAAACCTAAACTGAGCAGATTTTGTATTACCAGCCCATGTTCAACAGTGTCAAATGTCTTGGACAAATCAACAATTAAAGCTGTGCAACCATGTTCCTGAACCAACGTAGAAATAATATCATTCACCACCTTCAAAGCAGCAGTATGAGTACTGTGCTGCTTCCTAAAACCTGACTGGTATTCTGATAATTCATTAGTCTGTAGGAACTCCTTTAATTGGTTACTCACTAAATTTTCCAGAATCTTAGCAAGCACAGACAGGTTTGATATAGGCCCATTGTTATTTAATAAGGTGGCATCTCCCACTTTCAGTAATGGTGTAACATATGCAGTAAAGTAATAATGATCAGTCTCAGCCAGCTAAGGCAATCATATGGAACTATGGTATGACAAATCTAAATACAAAAAGAAAACAGTTAAAAAACAAACAAACACCAGGCCAACATTTGCAGACCTGTTTGGTTGACAATGAGATTAAGCACATTTCTTCTGTGACAGAGCCATGTGAAAAACCCAGATGCTCTCTGATTCTGTAGCTGGCTATTTATTATAAGAAAGGAAGTTCAGTTTTGGTGCTTTCTCAGCTTCACTGCTGCTGTTTTGGTTGGTCTGCTCTCACCACAAACCCCTTGAGACCTTCCTCAAATGTATCCCCCTGCTCTCTGCATACTGTGCACTACACTATCCATCACTCACTGCTGAACAGCTCCGGGATGCTAACGCCACATCCTGAGTCTGCTGAGAAGCTACAAGCTTTGCTTTTTTCCTCTGAACCCAAGCACTTCTCAGACCGAATGAAACGAAGTCAGGCCGAAAGCAATTACTCAGTACTAAACGAGTAGTAGCAGGCAGCTTTTTTCCACCAGGGGCCAAAGAAGCTCTGCAGTCCTGGAGTTCCAATCTCATACTTAATCTATAGCCAAACTGACGCATGATCTTTACAGTACAGTGAAATACAGTACTGGTTGACAAGATTGAAAAATAGAGAATCCCCTTAACGCATTTGAGTTTTAACATTTCACTTGTTAAAACAGTAAATGAGCTAATGTAAACCTGTTGGACAGTTGTTCGGGACAATGGCTGGCATTATATTTTTCTTACTGTTAGCAAATCCAATGAAAAGAATAAAACCTCAATGTATTAGTTCATCTCTTTGTAGTAAACAATTCTTCTATCATGTCTTTTGCACTCAGCTCCAAGCTCTTTGGCTCCCCCTAAAATGGCACATAATATACTTTTTCTTTTTTTTTTTTTAAATTGCCCAGTAAATTCAAACAACTAGGCACTGTTATCAAATGCTACTCAGACAGGAGTAACTAGTGCATTTGCTGGGGAACTATTTTCAGCTGTGGATTAACACACATTTGGTGCACTAGTTTGTGATTCCAGCAGCTTTATGGTACATGTGGGGTTGATTCAAAATAAATTATATTGTGTCTTCACTGTAATGAAGAAGCATGCAACCCAGTGCAACTATGTACAGATGGGTGAAAATTAAAGGACACTCATCCTGGAAGAGACCACTCAGTGTTTCAAGTTTTTCCTTTAATTTGTCACCATCTGTAGGCCACTGCTGATTATACTGTTTGGACAACAGTGGAGCCCTGCGGCTCAGGGGAATAAGACAGCTCAACCTTTGGCTACACAGACAATACTTCATACTTGGTCTTTGTCTTTCAGTGGATTTAATCTTAACATTTCTTTAATCTTGGAGTAATGCTAAACTACAAACCTGACCAACATACTGTTGCCCATATGTGTATTTTTGAGGCAACATACCTGAGATGTAAAAAAAAAAACAAACAAAACAAAACAAACAACCCATACAATTATATGAAACGGTAAAAACAATAAACAATGCTTTATATTACAAAACGAGGAAATTTGGTCTTGCTGTTGATAAACAGCATCAAGTACAGTATGTATAAGATAACATTATGTCCCTTTCTACTGTTTATAGGATTAAATAAAGATAGGTTTTTCAAAGAAACTTGATCAGCACCTTGAGAAAAGTGATGTGAATTCACTTACAGTACCAAAGTAGTGGAGTGAGTGTTGACTGGTGACATATAGCCAATGGGCTGATAGTAGCTGGGTCTCCATCCAAAACACATGAAGAGGTCACCTGCGACTGTCTGACTTTTACATACACAATGGAAACCCTAAATACATACAGTGGGTACGGAAAGTATTCAAACCCCCTTAAATTTTTCACTCTTTGTTATATTGCAGCCATATGCTAAAATCATTTAAGTTCATTTTTTTCCTCATTAATGTACACACAGCACCCCATATTGACAGAAAAACACAGAATTTTTGACATTATTGCAGATTTATTAAAAAAGAAAAACTGAAATATCACATGGTCATAAGTATTCAGACCCTTTGCT